CTGCAATTTGGGAGGCTGAGGCAAGAAGATTGCAAGTATGAGTCCAGACTGGGCAATTTAGCAAGACCTTGTCTCCAAATAAAAAATAAAACTAGCTGGGTTCAAAGGCCTAGGTTTCTATTCCCTAGTTATCCTAAAAAAAAGAAAAAGAAAAAAAGATGCATCCTTTTTTGTGGCATCTTATAGCATCATTTCTTTTCCTTCTGGTAATAACTAAAACATGTTGACAGTATATGGTGCTGAGAGGTTGCTGGACTGGTTTTGGCTTGCCTCTTTCCAGAAATGTAGTATTTGGATAGGGCATATGTTGTTATTTTAAAAGAAGTTGATAAGAAATTATTTAATTTTATTTATTTATTGGTTATGGAATACCCTACAGTAAATGTTTATTTTTAAAAGTTCCATTATAAGATATATAGATGGCATTAACTCAGCCATCTATGTACTTAATCAGTTATTTATATATTGTTGTTTGATGCTTTTTATGAACTTTATTATCTCAAAAATTAAATGCTTTATAAATTAGAGAACAAAAATGATTTTGCTGGGCTGGTGAGATGGCTCAGTGATCTAAAGCACCTACTTAGAACAAGCTTAGCAAAGCACAGGGACTGCGGTTCAGTCCCCCAGCACCACATGCCAGCCAGCCCCACCCCCTGGTGGGCTGAGCTGGCCACACACACACACATACACACACACAAATAAATAAATAAATAAAATTTAAAAACAAAGCAAAACTAAAAAAAAAAAATTAAAAATGATTTTGCTGATTGAATTTTGATTATGATAGATACTCTGAGTAGTGGGTTTGTAGTTTCAAGGTCTAAAATCTAGGTGAAGGACTGAATGCACCAGGAAGAGCCTCCCTTGAGTTCTTTGGAAGAAGGTAGAAAAAAAGACACTTTAAAATGGCAATGGTATCAGAATTCCTCAAGCAGGCCTGCTTTATTGACAATCAAGAACAGGAATATGCTCAAACTGAGAAAGCATCCAAAGGCGGTCCTGGGTCAGCCCTGAGCTCCTACCCCAGCTTTAATCTCTCCTCTGATATTGAGGCTTTGCACAAAGCCATAATAGTAGAAGATGTGGATAAAGCAACCATCAGTGACATTCTGACAAAGAGAAGTAATGCCCAGTGTCAGCAGACCACAGCAGCCTACCTCCAGGAAAAAGGGAAGCCACTGGATGAAGCTCTGAAGAAAGTCCTCACAGGTCATCTAGAAGAAGTGGTTTTAGCTCTGTTGAAAACTGCCAGTTTGACACAGATGAGTTCCGTGTGGTCATGAAGGATCTTGGAACTGATGAAGACACCGTCATTGAAATTTTGGCATCAAGAAAGAATAGAGAAATTGGAGAAATTAATAGAGTCTACAGAGATGAGCTGAAGAGAGATTTAGCCAAAAACATCACCACAGATACATTTGGAAATTTTTGGAAGGCTCTGCTTTCTGTCTCTAAGGGTGGCTGATGTGAAGATCTTGGTATGAATGAAGACTTGATGGACACAGATGCCAGGGCCCTATATGAAGCTGGAGAAAGGAGACAGATGTGAATGTGTTCAACACCATTCTGACCACCCGCAGCTACTCCATCTTCGCAGAGTGTTTCAGAGATACACCAAGTACAGTGACCACTACATGAGCAAGGCTCTGGACCAGGAGCTGAAGGGTGACATTGAGAGATGCCTCACAGCCATTGTGAAATGTGCCACAAGTACACCTGCTTTTTTTGCTGAGACGCTTCATGAGGCAGTGAAGGGCGCTGGAACTCGTCATAAGGCACTTATCAGGGTCGTGGTCTCTCGCTTGGAAAGCGACATGAATGATATCAAAGTGTACTGTCAGAAGATGTATGGGATCTCTCTGTGCCAAGCCATTCTGGACAAAACCAAGGGAGATTGTGAAAAAATTCTAGTGGCTCTTTGTGGAGGAAACTGAATATTCCTTTGACACTCTCAAGTATTCTTTTTTTTTTTTTTTTTTTTTTTTTTTTTTTTTTTTTTTTTTTTTTTTTTTTTTTTTTTGTAGAACTGAGGATTGAACTCAGGCCCTGCGCTTGCCAGGGAAGCGCTTATTCTACTGAGCATCTCTCCGGCCCTCTCAAGTATTCTTAACAGAAAACTTCTGAACCACAGTTTTTCATTCTGCAACATTGGCTTGACTAGGAAAGTTGGTTGAGCAGGTTTGCAGTGCTGCTTTCTGAAAAACAATATGGCCTTTTTATCACAACTCTATATCACAACTATGTATAATGAAGATAAGTTTGTTTTTAAAATATGTTTTCAGAAATCATAAGACCCCCATATACAAGTTGATTTATTGCTTGAGAAAGATGTTTAAGTAGCTGAAAATAAAAAATGATGTGACCAAAAAATATAAAATCTACGTGGAGAGAAAGTTGACACTCTTTTTTTTTAGTAAATTTTAAAAAATTTATGTATTTAGTACAGGACCATGGAGATGGCTCAGTGGAATAAGCACTTCCCTGGGAAGTGTGAGGGCCTGAGTTCAATCCTCAGTTCCGGGAAAAAAAAAAACAAAAAACAAAACAACTCTAAATTCTGTATATGATACCATCTGCAAACAAGGATAATTTTACTTCTCCTTTTCTTATGTATTTAGTACAGGGTCTACAGGGTCTCACTACACAGATAGGATTTGTAGTGACCCTTCCTGTTTTTTAGCCGCTCGCCCAAGTGCTGGGATTACAGGCCCATGCCACCGCACCCAGTCTCTGTCTCAGTGTGCCCCTGGGGCGGGGCCAGCAGGGCACACCTGGGATGGAACCTAAGTGCTATGCTCTGCCCAAGCAGGCACTTCAATCTGCTGAGCTGTCTGGCCGGCCCTAAAGTTGACATTCTTGATATACTTGTGACTATAAGAATATTCTGATAGATATTCCAAATTATATAAGGGCATAAGATGATGAGAGAAATAAAAAATCAAGTAAGAACATTTAGTGTTTGGCGGGGCCTTAGAATGAAGTTATTGGAGATGGAGTTCATATGAGGAAAAACTTTATAAAGAGAAATATGTTAGTCATATGGACATTACTGAGGAGTCTTAAATAAGAAGATAACAATAGAACTGGACATGGTGGCGCATGCCTGTAAGCCCAGCACTTGGGAGGCTGAGACTGGAGGATCTCTGTAAGTTGGAGAGCAGCCTGGGCTCCAAAGAGAGTTCGAGGCCAGCCAAAACTACATAGTAAAATCCTGTCTCAAAAAGACAAAAAAAAAAAAAAAAAAAACCCCAAAAACCCCAAAAACCAAACCACCACCATAAAAAAAAACCAACCAGCCAACAATAACAAAAAAGATGACAGTGTAACTTGAATAGTTGTAGAGTTAGAGGGGGCTGGTGAGATGGCTCAGTGGTCTAACGCACCTGCTTAGAACAAGCTAAGCTAAACAAAAGCACAGGGACCGCGGTTCAATCCCCAGCACCACATGCCAGCCAGCCCCGCCCCCTGGTGGGCTGAGCTGGCCACACACTAAATAAATAAATAAATAAATTAAAAAAAAAATAGTTGTAGATTTAGAGCAGAAATATGGTAATTAGGGCATGGTCACATGAAGGAGACTTTGAAAGTTAAAGTAGGTAGCTAGGATGTATGGCCACCTTGCCCTTAAAGATAAAAAATTGGGGGAGGGAGTTCTTTTAGAAATGGTATATAGGATGAGACGGAGAACAATTGGAACATTTAAGAGTGTGTTGCAGTGGTCCATAGATGAGTTATTGAGTGCCTGTATTAAGAGGGTGATAGTCAAAATAGAGAAAAAGGAATAACTGAGACAGTTTCATTAAAGGAGACTTGATCTTTAGCATGTATACACATCTATATTCAGAGAGGGAACAAGGGATTGAGAAAGGGAGGAAATACAGGGAATAAAAGAAAAACAATGATCACTTCTTCCTTTATATTTAGTATTAGATGTATAGACTTTTTTTAAATGGTGGAGGAAGATGTGTTCAATTTAGATGTACTAAATTTACAATGATAGCTACAAGTAGAAGTTATTGGATATATGGTTCTGGAGGATAATGTAGGGCCAGAGATGCTGATCATCATGCAATTTTTTTTTTCCCCCAGAACTGGGGATTGAACTCAGGCTCCTGCACTTGCCAGGCAAGCGCTTATTCCACCGAGCCATCTCTTCAGCCCCAGAGATGCTGATCAAAAGTGTGTGTAGTCAGTCTTTTGTACCTGGGGGTTTTGCATTGGATTCAGCAACTGAATAGAAAAATATATGAAAAACTTGCATGTGTACTATACATTTATAGACATTTTTCCTTGACATTTCCTAAAAACTTCAGCATAACAAATATTTACATAGAATTTACATTGCATTAGCTGTATAAGTAGTCTGTAGATGAGTTAGTGTAAATGGGAAGATGTGAGTTAATTATATGTAAATTGTAAGAAGCGACTGCACAGAAAGGACCTGCTTATCTGCAGATTTTAGTGTCTGTGGAGAGTCCTATAGCTATTTCTTGTAAATACTGAAGGATGTTTTGTATATGGATGTTCTTAAATGCACATTCTGAGAAGTTTCCAAGAGGAAAACTGGAAAATCAATAAATAAGCTTCAGAAAACACCAGAAGAAATAATTTAATAGGTTGATTTGAATGAATTGCTAAGTAAATTAGCAATTCTATTTTAAAACCTGTTTTGATACAACCAGTATCCTGTCTGTTGGAAATATTTGTGAAGGTCAGTATATATTTGATATATATACCCTGGTCTTACTGTGCAGCTGGGACTCGTAGTGACCCTCCTGTTTGAGCCTCCCCAGCACTGGGATTACAGGCATGCACCACCCCTTGTTACAGTGGCCAGCTTGGCACGGGGCCAGCATGGCGTGCAGTACCAGGGGTCGAACTCAGGTCTTTGCACTTAGACCACTGAGCTATCTCCTTGGCCCAAGGTCAATATATTCTGATCTCTTTTGATCTGATTCTAAAGCCAGAATATTTTGATTTATTGCATCTCTTTGTAGATCTCTGTGCTAAGAAGACAGCAACGTATGATAAAAAATCGAGAGTCTGCTTGTCAGTCACGCAAGAAAAAGAAAGAATATATGCTTGGGCTAGAGGCCAGGTTAAAGGCTGCTCTTTCAGAGAATGAGCAACTGAAGAAAGAGAATGGGTCGCTGAAGCGGCAGCTAGATGAAGTTGTATCAGAGGTGAGTGGTGGTGACTGGGCTGGCTGAGGGTGGTTAGAGATTTTCTTTCTGATAGTTAAGCTTGTGTATCTTAAATTGCGTAAAACAGCAGTGCTAGGAAAATGAGGTATAGTAAGTCCAAAAACATTTGTAGTAACAATAAAAAAATTTGGAACGTCCTTTTGAATTGTATCTCCCAATGTCCATACAAAAGGCATTCCTTGAGTTTCTCCTAACTACCTTAGCATCTTCTTTTCTTACTCACAGTAAGGCTCCTGAATAGTACTCAGGTGTTTCCTTTTGTGAAAGAGAGCAATGGAAAAGAAAAATGTGTTTTGTCTTTCCTTTGTCCACCTCCTCACTGTTACATTTTTTGCATTCTATTGCCAGTGCTAATCCTGAGAAGATTAATCTCTGTTCTGCTCATGAATTCTTCCACTTTCAATGTTTCCACTACTGTGTGGTACTAAACCAAGTGGATGCTGATTAAGTGGGGCATCCTGGGCTGCTCACTCTTGAAAATAGTGACTTCAAAGACAGTGAAATAACTCAGCACACACATTTAAATACTATATAGTCTCTCTTACATGGGAGACCCAACATATTTTAAAAAAAGAGCAAAGTAAAAGATAATAGGAAGTAGGAAATAGATCTCTTTATTATTGAAACTGTCTTACCAATTTGATTTGAAACTGTCTCATTGCTATTTGTTTATCAATAAAATTATGGGGGGAAAAAAAAGTAAATAGATCTTCTCAAATGGGGAGGGGATCCAGAGATAAAGGCAGGAGGGAGGAAGAGCAGGAGAAGGGCATGAGAAAAGAACTAAGATCGTGTTATATGCAGGTATCAGTCCCCAAGAGGGATATAAACATTATGTACTATAAACATGTACTAATAAAAAAATATATGAAGTGAAAAAAGATAGAGGCAAACTATAATGGGATGGTCAAAGTATGTGGTAAATGTTTAAATTAAATACATTTTTTACAAGGCTAGGCATGGTGGCACATACCTGTAATCCCAGCACTGAGAAGGTTGAGGCAGGAGGATTACCCTGAGTTTGAGGCCAACCTGGGTTACAAAATGAGTTCAAGACCAGCCTGAACTGCATAGCAAAACCTTGTCTCAAAAAGACAAAACAAACGAATGGATGCCTATTACAGTTAAAGACATATTGCCATTAATTCCCTTCAGAGTACTGTCCCTCACTTCCACCACACATATCCCATCATTCTTTCTGCTTTCAGAAGGAGTTTTGGAAGTTCTGTTTCATGAATGGCTTTACACAGTGTGATAAAAAATAAGATGGATGCTGCTGCTGAGTACCGTCTAACAAAAAGGCAGGTTTATAAAACATGGTGTGTCCCCATCACTTCATTCATTGGATGTGGCACTGTATGACTTTGGGCTCTTCCCCAAAGTCAAATGACTATAAAGGGTGAACATTTTTAATTGAAAAAGGACTTTAAGGTAGCTACAACAGTACAGTGAAAGACACTCATGAAAGAGGACTTTCAGAACTGCTTCAGAAAGTGGCAAGAATGATGGGATGTGTATTGAAAATGAGCAGGGCTGGGGAGTTAGCTCCATAGAATAAGTACTTGCCACGCAAGCACAAGGCCTGAGTTCAATTCTTGGTTCCGGAAAAAAAAAAAAAATGAGCAGAGGTATTTTGAGGGGTGTTAATGGCAATGTGTCTTTTACTGTAATTTTTTTAAACACTTGCTATATTTTTCAGTCATACCTGTGCTTCTACATTCTTTAGTGATCCATAAAAATATAGAA